AGAATTGAAAGATCAGATAGATTTCATATTAGATAGAAATTGTGTTACAAGCAACCAAACATTATCTGTCTAGAAAATCCCTCCGTTTTTTCCTAGAAATTCCAACTTTATACTTAGGTATGACCTTAGTGAAACAACAAGATAATGAAAAAACAGGTAGTAATGGATGTTTTCCATCTACCATGTTGGTTTTATCATTTTAAATGATATATTGAAGAAGCCTAGGGATGCAAACACACTTTTTTTGGAAAACGAACTTCTGTCTATGGTATTATGTCTGAAAAAATCTGATGCTTTCGAGATATAGTCGTTAACTGAAGCAGTACTATATACTGTAAACTAGATACCTTCTTTTCCACTTTCAAATAATTTCTTTTTATGAAAAGTTCTGTAATCTTCACTTGTATAATTTCCATTTTCATCATTCACAAAAAACTATTACAATAATCAATCCAAATTATTAGAAACCAATTAAAACAAAACAATGAGAAAACTAATCCTTCTCCTAATTGCTCTCTTCCTGATTGCTAGCTATCAAACCGTCACTGCTCAATGGTATGGTGCCTACAATGCTGCCTTCAACGCTGCAACCACTCCATGGATGGCCACAACTGGAGCTTACAATCCTGCTCTCTACAGCAATGCCTACATGGGTGCCAACTCTTTCACTCCTTATTTGGCCACCTCTGCTGCAACAAGCACAATTCCAATTCTTGCAAATATGCAAGCAAGTAGTGCTGCCTTCAATACTTGGTCAACTATGCCATATGGAGGTATGTATTGGTAAATTGAAGAATTGCCAACATACGGTTGGAATGTGAGAAGTCATTGTGATTTGATCAAAGAATTGTGAATAAAGATTCGTGTTATTAATAATATTTTTTGTTCCAAATGTAAAAGGGAAATCAGTTGACAATAATACTGATTGGAAATATGGAAGAATAAACAAAACTATTTTAATTGCTAAATGATTTAAAATTGGACAAAATGAGATAATTTTTATTCGCCCATATTTGTATAAATATAAATAGTTATTACAATATTTCAGTCTACCAATGAAAATAAAGCATGGTAGAGAAAGAAGCACCAAGTATTTTAGCCACATTATTGCCAACAGCAAACATAATTACCAATATAGAGAGGGAGGCACCAACAATTACAACCATCGATACGAAAATTAAGCTCACACGTTCCACAACACCAACCAGCTTCACTGAAACTAACGAGAGTTGTTCCAATAAGTACTAGAACCAATAATAGGTGCAACAAGTTCATATTCATTCTTTTATTTGGACTAGCAATCAAATCACCGCTGTATTTAAAGATACTGGGAGATTGATATGGTTGGAAAATTGCTTAAAATTCTCAAGTATATATGGAAAATGTACAGATTGCATTAAAAACACAAAATGTGGAAGTGCTCTATCTTGTCAAATTTCCTATTTTATGGAAAAATTTATGAAATTCTCTCTCAATAATTGTAAACTAGTTCAAATTTTTTTATCAAATTTGGAAATACTCTTTGTTTGTTTTTGGAAACACACTATAAATATTCTCATTTGGCACCGATCATAATTTCCACTCAAAAACAAAACCACACACATGTCAGAAGTTCACATTTACACAATTGAGTGCATTCTCGACCACGTAGGAGCCGATCCAGGAGACACCACTGAATCTGGCTCTGAAATTACAACCTCAATTACCATTGGTGGAAAGACAAAATCCTCAGGACCATTCACTCTTCCAGT